CTATGTGTAGTAAATCTCAGTTTTGGACCCCTGGCATTTTCAAATAAAGACTCTTAGTACTGCTACTTGCCATTCAAACTAGATTAGGGAAAGGCAATCTACTGCTATCTAGATATTTTGGAGTACAGTTTCCATAACGGTTGTCTATTAGCACGTAGCTTATGGGAGTTACCTTCCAACAAACTGTGGCTTATCCTGAAGGGAGATCCTTGTAATTGGGCCCACACTCTAATTTAGCATTAGGTAGCATCCGGTGTTCCATATTTAACTATTCTGTCCCTTGGCTATTACGTAGAATATACAAGAGAGCTTCTCCAAGACAGGTCTAATGTTGTGTCAGATTTTTATTTTGGAACAAATACTGAAGAAAAACCCAGGGGGTGTGAGGTCTAGAGAGAGGCAAGAATGTATTTTATTTCATTGATTAGCAGGAGCTGGAAGTGTGGAAAGAGAGACAAGATGCTGGTTGTCACTTTGGCTTGATCGATGAAACACCTATGGAAGGCAGGCGGTGACTCTTCTGGTCCTGCATACCAACAGCAGCGTTGTTCCTGATGGAGCATGAATCTGAGCTTCCACCCAGGGGATTGCCAAGCCAAGGAGCACAGCTGTCAGTGAAATGCTTGTCCTGACTTTAAGCTGTCAGGGAGTAAGTGAATCAAAGGAAAATACTCTTGTTGCAGATGCTCTGTATTTGTGAGAGCCAAAGAGGATGCTTTTTGGGGAGGCAGGGAGGAAGAAAAAGTAGGGATGCTGAATACCGATATATTCTATCCTCAAAAGCTTGACAGGATTCCCTTTTTAAAACAAGCATTCCCTTCATGAGTAGACCGATTTGAGATATATTTATGCTTATTTAATATAAAGCATATTGCTTTAATGCAAAGTCTATAACAGTAAGAAAACTCCTCTAAAAAGTTAGGCCACAGTTGTGCGTGACTCCCCCAAGGAGAAAACTTTTATTAGTGAAATAAACAAACCAACCAGATTCTGTTGGGATTAGTTCAATTATCTTTCTGTAAATGTTTAAGCTACATCACATGCAAAAGCCATAAAATTCAAAATTGCAACAACCAAGCACACAGCAGGCCAAGAAAGTAACAATAATGCAAAGACCCTAAACCTTTCCTCCCTCAAACTAAGCCCCCCTCCCTGCAACTGCAGTGTAGTAATCAGACATGAAAGAGTGTGCATGTTGATATCAGGCAGTTCTCCCTTGTTTGTTTGTTCATTTATGTTGTTGTAACCATCTCAAGAACTGTGAGAGATAGAGATATTTTGGACCTGTCTAAATAAACAGATAATGCTGGGCTTGATCCAAGAGAATCTGAGTCACCCATTAAACTTTGCGGAAATCACTAGATTTGCCTTACCTGTGATTACTTAAAAGCAGTGTTTTTTTTTTTTTAAAAAAAAAGGTGCCGGAACTCACACATGTTATACAACCCGCCGTTCTATGAGAAAAAAAAGCCCTGCTTAAAAGGATTCAGTATAACTGAGGTTTTGTTGCTCTCTGAACCCGCATGAAGGTTTGGTAAAGGCAATGAGGAAACTACCATGTATCCCACTACGGAGTTACTAGGAGGACAGAAGGGGTGCAAGATTATTTGACAATACAGTCCTAATCTAATTGTTTTCCATATAAATTTTTATTCATTATTTTGATAACAACAGTAAAACTAAACTTAAAAAGAACAACATAGAAAGGAGAAATGAAATCCTGGGACAATATTTGAGTGAACTAAATATTAAGAAGCAAATACTACTATTGTTAGAAGTAAAAGGAAGAAATACAAAGTTAGTTTATTTCAACAAGGTTAAAGTTACTAAATTTGTCTCTACTTGTTGCAATGAAAGGGTTAAGGTAAAGCAATATATATATATATATATATATATATATATATATATATATATATATATATATATATATATATATATATATATATATTTCTTTTTGCTGACAAGAGTTAAAGATTTAAGTGGGAGACTAGTATAACTATTTCGGATTCATTTATCCTCATCAGCTAGCCACACCCTTTATGGGATTTGAACCAGGGCAGTCTTTAACTCTTGTCAGCAAAAAGAAACCTGAATTTGTAATGTATTGCAGTTGCGACTTGAGTCTGCTTAATGCCCCTAGTAGGGGGGCTGCAAGGCAAAAGAGATTATAAAGAAGTAGAACTGCAGTATAGCAGTCAAAATGCCAAGGTGCAATCAATCAGACCGATCTGTCTGAAAAACTTTTTGCATATGTATGTATGTATGTATGTATGTATGTATGTATGTATGTATATCTTAATATTTAGTTCACTCAAATATTGTCCCATGATTTTATTTCTCTTTAATTCTTTATCCCATTGCAGAGACATCTTCAAGATTTCAAAAAGCCTCTTTTGTAGATCCAGTAATGAAATATTTTCATGGTTTGACATTTGTAGTTCCTCTTTAATTTTTGAACTTCAGCCAGCTTCTTTTATATATCCAGTAAAGCATCCTTTTCCAAATTATTATCTTGGCCTGTCATTTGTAGTTCCATTTTCAGTACAGTATAGACAAAATTTGTTCCACATCTGTCATACCCTCTCTGACATAGTTTTGAAATAATCTGTCCATAGAATCAGACACTGTTACTGAAACTGTTGATATTATAGCTACTAATTTCTGCTTGTGTTCTTCAAAGATCTCCTTTAATATTCCAGATGTTAAATTTTCTGTCATTTTTTTTAGTCCCAGTTAATCAACACCAAAAGCTGTACCTCTTTGCCATACCTCCCTTGGAAGTCCCATTGTATAATCTTATTCATGTTAGCTTAGATTCTGATAGTACTTTGGCCAGAATAATCTTCTGTGTGAAACATAGCCACTCTAAGTAACAAATTCTAAACCCAAAATGAAGCTTCTTCACCCCTGAGGTTTAGGCCATAAATCTGAGTTTTTTTCCAGGATTTATGATGCATGAGGCCTAGTTAAGATTTGTTATGACTGGGACATTTAGTAATGCTTGTTGGTTTTCTAGAAACTAAAATCTAATTTATAGTTTACTAATTTGTCCTGGTAATTCAAAATACTTTGTATGGCTTTTAGACCTCAAGGGAGCCATGGATTTGGGATTTTACTAGTTCTAATGTGAAGAAAGTTATTTTTGTTAAAGTGGGGAGGTATAATAATGGAAATTCCTTAACAGAGCTGGGCTGTTTCACAAATAGCCAAGGAAACCTATATTTGGACAGGCAACCATTAGGAAATCCTGGAGCTAAATTGAAAAAAAAAAACCTTCAGAAAAAGGCAAATGAATTGTAGAATTTATTGTTTAGAAAAGCATATCATTATCAGGACTTGAGCTGGGCTCAAGGAAATCTATACTAGAGTTGTGTGATGCTTTGGATTTGAAGGCAAAAAGGTGCTAAGAAACGGGAGTGTTCATGTAGCAGTTTCTACAATTCATTAAAGCAGCTGCCTGTTTTCCTAATATCCAGGGCTGCCCTTTTTATCTGCAGTGTCATCCCAGAAAAAGTCAGGAACTGGAGACAGGTGTTACATGTAGACCTCTGTATACTCTGAAGGTCCTTTTATCTTTGAATCCAGAATTCTGTATAGTCTTTAATCTTTACTTTATATGTATGGGAACATTGCCCTCTTTCTCCTCCTTAAACTGAAATCTCAGCAAATGAGTGATGTATAGGAGTAATTGGTGGCTGTGTCGTGGGTTTGTTTTTATGCGGTGTGGGAGTTCAAAAGTGGATCCCATGCAGGCTGTTTATAAGAATCTGCATTCAGGGGGTTTCAGCAACAGGGTTGTTAATGTTATGTTTGATTGTGAGAAGAGTACTTCTCAGAACAAGTGAATGAATAGGCTGTGTTAGTAATAAGCAGGAATGCGGAAAATAATTCTGTAATGTGTGGTCTGAACGAAATGTTTTGTAAACTAGGCTTGTTAAACTGCAATAACTGGGCTTATTAAACTGCCAATAAAACTTCAGAAAGTAAAGAAGCTTTTTTTGACATTTCCGTACTTGAAATTGATAACATCCATTGCTATGGCAGGGCAAAACTGGTCTTCGTTAGAGATAAATCACTGCCACAAAAATGAAGGGCACTGTTAGTCAAGAGAGCCAATTTGGTATAATGGTTAAGGCACCTGGCTAGAAACAAGGAGACTGTGAATTCTAGTCCAATCTTAGGCAAAAAGCTGGCTGAGTAACCTTGGGTCAGTTACCTTCTCACAGCCCTAGAGAGAAGGCAAGAGCAAAGATCTTCCAAAAAATATTGCCAAAAGACTTCTCCATGTAGTACCTGGTCCTGGAGGAATCAAAACTGACTTAGGCGTGCATGCACACACACATACACACGGAATCTCAAAAACCCAATTACATGAATAAGAACAGCTGGTAAAGAATTGATACTGGAACATGAGAGCATATTTGCAGCACACTCATTTCCTAAGACCACTTTAAAATAGGTAAAAGGTATTGAATCAATAAGTATTTTATGCAACTTACTGTATAATACCAGTAGTTGGGAAGCAAGACAAATTTGAAAGGAGAGTCGACAAAAGAAAACTAAACAAATACTCCTAGTAAAATAATGCAGTATCAAATTGCCAAATCTCCATTGAAATGAATACATGTTTTTATTTTGACATTATTCCAACAAAATCACGTGGGATTTCACATATAGTGCCGTTTTTAGCAAAGCACCATCTCACATGGAACACAATAATTTTTAAACTTTTCTGGACTGTCTCTAGTATTTCCTTCCTTGTTGATCTATTATTAGCTCTCAAATCTACTTGCTGTTGTATGGAAGTAAACAGTGTGATCTTTTCCACTGGACGGAAACATCTTTCTGTAAGGATAAGAGTGAATGTGGAATAGGATTTCCTGGGGAAACTGATACTCCCTATAACTAGTCATTTGCTTTGAACTCTTAGCAATAATTATTTTTTTCCTTAACAAACACGCAACTAACAGATGTCCATCTGGACGTTCTTTATCTTTTAGTGCAATCCTCTCTACTGCAGTAATATATATTGAGAAGAGTGGAACTAGACGACTCTCTTAGAAAACAATGGAAGGTAGTATTATTTTGGTATGGTCTTCCTACATTTAAAAATGTGAAATCAAGCCATGAATTTTGGATCTGAGTGCTCACCTTTTTAGAGCTGAATCACCATGATGTGATGTTACACGCAAGGTGATAAAAGCTCATTGTTGATTCTTTAATAGTGTGTCAGATTGATCTCTCTTTATAAAATAGATGTGTCATATAAACAGGTATGACGGCCCATGTAAGAGAAGTGGTATTTTTATCACAGCCCACATGCACATATGCCTCTTTGTAACTTGAAACAGCCTTGGTTCTTTAGGCCTATAGCAAGATTTTTGAGCTAATTGGGAGGACTCAATATTTTTCCATAAGTGGTGTTTACGGAATGAAAATGTTAGTTTGTCTGTTAATGTGTTTGTTAGTGGAACAGTATGTATTTATCGTTCTGTTGGCCCTTACTGTTCTACTGAACCATAGAAATACACTTTACAAACAATGACTGTAATTATCTTCCTTGATCTCTTTTGCGTTCATTCCATCATACAGGTATTTGCTTTCAATTCTCCTTTGATAGAAGAAAAGAACAGTTCAGTGAGGACTTTTAACTTGCTATATACTGCACAACAATGTTATTTTTTTTAGAATAAGGGTAATTCTCTAAGTCTGGGCTTGATCCAGTCTTAGTAGTGTATAAGTATGGCTGGCTCAAGAGTTCTGGGAGTTGAAGTCCACAAGTCATAAAAGGATCATAGTTCCCCACCCTTAATCTATAAGATTACTTTAAAGTAATTGGTTGGCTCCATTGGCTATAACTCTGGAACCAAGTTATTATCAAAATTCTTGGATAAGTATACTCCTAAACAACCTGGAATCCCCCAATTTTATATATAAATTTCTACATTTAAATTTGAATATTAAAATGAATAAGACATATTTGTAGCATATTCAAATTTGGATTGAGGGAAAAGGGAAATACAGGTAGTCCTCGATTTACAGCAGATCGTTTAGTGACCATTTAAAGTTACAATAGCACTGAAAAAAGTGACTTATGACCATTTTTTATACTTACATTCATTGCAGCATCCCCATGTTCACGTGATCAAAATTTAGACACTTGGCAACTGACTTTATTTATGATGGTTGCTGTGTCCCAAAGTCATGTGATCACCTTTTGAGGCCTTCTGGCAAGCAAAGTTAATGGGGAAGCCAGATTCACTTAACAACTGTGTTAAACTAACTCAACAACTGCAGTGATTCACTTAACAACTGTAGCAAGAAAGGTCATAAAATGGGGCCAAATTCACTTAACAACTGTTTCACTTAGCCACAGAAATTTTGGGCTCAATTGTGGTCATAAGTCAAGGATTGCATTCTTGCTTTCCCTTACTAGTTGGTCTTTCAATTTCCCCTGCTATCTAAATGATAATATGGGGGTATTATATATTGGAAACCCCAAACTGTTTGGCACTGAGAAAGGTCTGGGAGTCAGATGGCACTCTGTATCTGTGGAAGGTTTGAAAATAGGACTTGGAGGATACCAGCCATCATGGCCATAGGCTGATCATCCTTACTATAGATCAGCGGCCCCCAACCTTTTCTATGCCCTGCACCCCTAGACCGCTTCTACTATATACTCGCACCCATTACAAAGGTTTGAAATAACAGCAACGAATTATGCATATACACTATAATTTTGAAAACCCAAGTTTTTGCCCCCCCCTAGAATATCGTCTTGCACCTCCAGGGGGTGCGAGCACCCATGGTTGGGAACCCCTGCCCTAGATGATGCCCTGTTGAATTGGATAAGCATAATTCCTTATCTGAGGGGAGTATCTGGGCTGTTAGCAAGAGTTATTAATGCACACTAAGCTGCTTCTTCATCAAGATTTCCCAGCCTCTTCAAACCCTGGGTGTGATAGGGACTCTAGCTTATATAGGAGCAAAATATAGTTGGGAAAGAGGTTCCCCAAAATACCAATAAAATAAGTTGTCTGATTTGCTTGGTGCTGTACTCAAAGCAAGCATGAATCTTTTTCTCTCTTTTTTTGGCAGAAGCAATCTCAGCACAGCAGCAAATGCAATTCCATGTAAGGTGGTTTTGGGAAACGCAGATGGAGGGAGATAAGAGCCAGAGCTGCTTATTCTTAAAAGCTTCAAGAATAGCCCCCACAGTGTTCACAAGGCAATATAAGCTTGCATCAAGAGAAGGCAATAGAAAGAGAGTTCTGATTTTCTAAAAGTCAGGAGAAGTGATCTTCCATAAGTACTTGTTTAATTTTGACGACTTTTTAAATATTAACTTTTAGCCTGATGTTCCAGGTATGGCTGGAGATTCTGGGAGGCATAATCCCAGCTGGAAGTCACCAATGTTGCAAAGCCAATAAATGTGGAGGGCACAAGGAAAAGTCGCAGACAATTAAATTAAACAATATGTCTATGGAAATTCTCAATCATCCAGGTCATGGTTGTCCCAAAGGTTCTTTTTCCAAAAGGCAACTGGACTTTCTTGGTTTTTTCCTTTGAAAACTTCTCCACATCAGTCAGTTAGAACTAAAGAAACTTCTTGGATGAGAAGCAAAATGTTTTCAAAGGAAAAAAAAAAACCAAGGAAGTTTAGTTGCCTTTTGGAAGAAGCACCTTTGAGACAAACTGAACAATAATTTCAGGCTAGAAGCCTGTTATCCCCTTGTTTACTTGTTGCCTCTTTCCTTTAAATAAATATGTGTTTGGCTTGAGACTTAAAATGGCTTGAATTCAAGTGTTCTGGGTTTATTTAAATGGTTTGCAGGTTGAGAAACACACCTGCTAGCTAACTTGTTGAACTAGAAAATGACCTTTTAAAAATGCATAATAAACTGGACCTGGTTTAGCCTCAGCCCCAGATGGCAGATTTACATTCACTCTGCTACTTTTGGGAAAGTATTTGTTTACTTGAATTTGTTATGACCACGCTCTCTAGTACACCCCTGGGCAGATTATAAATAACTGTGAACTCTGTATATATTCTGGGCAGCTTCATAAATGTTTTTATTGAAAAAGGGAGTTCAGTCTCCCATGTCTTTCAGAGAAAATCTTGCATCAGTTTTGCTAATAAATTCTTAGTTACTGTAAATCCTTAAGATTATTAGAAGTGTGGCCTTCTCTTCCACTTAACTTTTCTGTGCCTTAAGTGTGGGACTGCTTTTTTTTTTCTTTTCAGTTTTGAACTTCGTTCTTTGCTGTCTTTCTTCATTTTCTTCTGTGCAGTCGATGGAATGCCTTCAGGTTTACACTCTTCATTTAGTGTTCTGTTAAAAAAAGTAAGCTATACTATTTTTCTCCTCCTAGTCTGATTTATCTTAATTCTGCCATCATTCTCATCCTTTTAGAGGTGAGTAGTTTATGCAAGATCAAAGATCTTGTGTTTAATCCCAGGGGCAGGGATTTTGATATTCCTTAGTGCTCTCCAGCACAAGAACATCTCTCTTACAGATGGAGTAATGCTTTTTCGGTACAGTACAGATGCCTGCTTATTTCTTCTGTTGTCTGCTGAGTTAGCTATGACTTGGAAAAGAGAATGAAAGAGCATACACATACAATCCCATGACTAGTCCTATTGATTCCTTCAAGAATCTATTCCTTTAGTCCCATTTTCCTCTTTAATAATGTGCAGGCCACTTGTATTAAACCTTGGTAGTTCATCTGGCTAGTCCTCTTTCTGAGATACTTTATTCTATTTTTTTATTTCCTGGCTTTCTCACCCTCCCTTGTCTCCATGAAGTAGTCAGTCTTCTTCAGTGGACTATTTTGGGCTTTTCCCTCACTCCTCATACTGAAAAAATATTTTGATATTTATTTTTATAACGTCTTTTGTACAGATTTTACTCTACTGTGCTAGTTGGAAAGCATCAGAGGCTTTCTTTTTAAAAATGTATTCTATCAGCCTGTCTGTGTTGAACAATAAAAGCATTGTGTTTTATACAAATGCATAAAACAGGCCTCTAAATAAATTTAATTTTGGTTTTTCTCTGTCTTTTTTCTAACAAGTTGTTTTATAGATCTTGATTTAATCTAACGTCAACCAGTGATGTATGTATGTATGTATGTATGTATGTATGTATGTATGTATGTATGTATGTATATATATACATACATACATACATACATACATACATACATACATACATACATACACACACTGTGGCTAATGTTCTTGGCTTGATATCTTCTCTGCCAATAAAATTCAGGCAGGAATGCAGGTGGCATTCAGGGAAGAAAATACAATAATTTAAAAATTGCACTCAGGATTATATTGCTTTAATTATATATTTAGAACTTCATTTCACCTGAATATAATACTGAGCATTTGGTTTACCTTGTTCAAAATTTGAACCTTGCAGGGCAGGCATAGAGTTACTCTTTTAAAATCCTCATGGATGCTTCAACCTGCTGTTTACATAGGTCCCATTTTGATCATTCCTATTTTATAGGCAGGAACCTGAAAGAACAAGTGGAACTTGTTGGCCTAGTCAATTAATTGCATTAAATTAAATGTATAAGTCTCTTTATAAGGATTCTGAGCAGTATACAATGAAAAGCAGTAATAAAAATCAGATAAAAATCAGGGTCACTAAACATCTGGAAAAACAGCCATTCTAGTAAAAAGAAATATGTACCGTAAGTCTCAACACTTGCTGAATCCAAGGCTAGGAAAAATAGCCAAGTTTTTAAGGCTCTTTTAAACATGGTCAGGCCAGGTAAATCTCAGAAGAGAAGGTGTTCAGGTACTTCAAGAGAAGAAGTTAGAAAAGGGAGGCAGGAAGATATTGCAATTAAAACTGCCCATTTAGATGCCTCCAGTGCCAATTGGATGCTCATAGTGGAGTTCATTGAAAAATAATTTCAACTATCAGCTGTTTCACCTAATTAGGGCTATTGGTTCTTTTCTTCAAATCAGTTTTATTCATTTTGCTACTCCTGCAAACATGTTTCTGTTTACAAGTAACATTCATTATGAAGCAATTAAAAATAATTCTGAGGCTTGCTGTG